AACCCTGTTTATAAACGCAAATGCAACTCTTGTGTGCTGCATCAGTACCTACATAAATGCGAACGTTAAATGCAAGTGGTTTCTTTGTAAATAAACCTGTAATAAAAGCTCTAAGTAGTGCTCTAAACATGCAAAAGGTATGCCAAAAATGAGGCCTGTTAGTTAACAAGCATTTTTCCTGCCTTCTAGGAAATTAAGGTACAAACAACTACGGATTTCCACAGAATCCAGGCATTCCTTCATCTGCACTGTTACAACAGCCTGTGCAAAACAATCTGCCGTGTTTGCATGCCCACATGTCTCAACTGCAAATGACGTTACTGCACTCCCCGGTCTTCTCCTGCATCCCGGAAAGCACAGATGTGCATATCCTGTACGGCTCTCCCGCTCCTCTGCATGCCCCTAACACCTGCGGTGTCATGAGGAGTCCCGTGCCGACCAACGGGCTCCAGGGCCAGCTCAGCCGGCCAACACGGCATCACTTGGGAAGTCATTAACTTAATGCAAGGAAACTGCCAGCTGACAAGTTTTTGTTTGAAAAACAAGTTTTTGTTTGATTTTATTTTCTGGCAATAAGATCTAGCTTTTAGGTCCTTTGGTACTTACAGGACAAAACAACTCCTCACTTCCTCCCTCAACCTTCTTGCACATTCTTAGGTATTCTCCATATGGGCAAAACAAAACAAAAACACAAGCTGATACCACTGAGAAAGATAGATAAATGCTTAAATACAGAGAAGACAACCACATGCCATGTCCCAATGCATCTAGCAGCATTCCTCACCCAGCCTAGCACCGGTAGGTGAGAGTATCATGACTGGCCAAATCCGTGTGAAGCAGCTGAGCGGGTCACTGTCAGGATGGGAATGGATCCATGTGGCCCATGAATCCTGCCCTGACCCATTCCTGGTGCACAGCTCACGGTGCCCAAGAAGCAGCAGGAGCAGCGTCCAGGCCCGGGGTTAGCAGCACGGACTGGTTTCCAGCCCCATCTCCGGACTGTTTTGGGCCTGGGCTCAGCTAAAGTCCCGGGCACGGCGGGGGAGCCAGGACGGGCGCAGCCTGTTCCCGACCCCGCTCCCAC